GGTGTGGAACCGGTGGGTGCACCTATCTTTATCCTTTTATTAAATAACAAAAGAATATATATTCCTTAGAAGATATGAAAGAAATATATATTCTTCATTCATCTCTTTATTTAGTAACAAATTATCAATATTAAATTTAAGGAACTGTTTCTAATTCTTTAAGAAAATTTATCAAATTTCACTTATTTTTTATGATTTGTCAAAGGAATGTCCAATAGCATCAATCAAACACGACCCTAATGTTATGAAAACCGGTAGAAAAAGAGATGAGGATGAGAAATTATTCTTTTGAGCACTGGAAATTGTGGGATGACAAATTATTAGTACCATAGAATATTGTTCACAGTTGGTAGATCTGACAAAGATAGAAATGCATGTGGCTTGTCTTAGATTTCTTTGCCGGACATAAAACATCAGTTTGACGTTAGTGAGTGAATTTTTGTACCCAAAGATCTTCAATCTTTACGACAAAGATATTGTCTACCTTATCCATATCCAAATTTCATCCCCAACATCTAATGATAAAAAAAATATATATTTTTGACCTCTTAAAAGATATTCTTTCAATCTTATGCAAATCCCTCAAAGCCGGTCGATACCCAGAAATATATAGCATCACGCAACAAATATTTGCATATATCCTAACTCTCTCTCCCCCTAAAGAGATATTGTTTGGATCAAGTCTAATAACATCCCTGCCCACCCTACCCCTCCCCCATGTATCTAGCTTGTTTAGAGGGATGAATTTTCTGTTTAATCAAATTAAAATGCTGTTTAGAAATGTACACCTAACCCTTTAAGTGCCATGACCCTTTTAGTGTGATTTCTAAAATGTGAATTTAACCCTCCAAGTTCATTAATATTGAAGGGGAAATTTCCAAACCAGAGTGTACAATTTTCAAATTACATAAGATCAAAAGTAAATTTCATAATTTGAGGGTTAATTATTTATTTTCAAACCACATTGAATGTACATTTTATGATTTAAATAGTCAAATTTACCCACCTCAAACAACATGGGATAAGTGCAAATTTTCCCCTTCTAGGTCGCATTTGGCTTGCAACGTTCATTGAAAAAAGAATCTAGAGAAGCCACATTAACAAATTAACTACCTTGGTCCAAGATTTCATGATTTAAGTGCAAAAATTAATGTAGATAATATAGCAGACTATATAATGAGCATAATTGACTACTATAAGTTTTTTTTATATAGTCAACTAGTAGCTCAAAATAATTGACTACTTATATTGGAATTTTTTTTTTAAATTGTGTACGTTGCATATTTTGATTTAATATACTTATTAAAAATTATTATTGTTTCGTTTAAAATTAAAAATAATTAAAGTTAAGGATATAACTATACATAAAAGATGTATAAAAATCAGTTAAATTAATTATATTTATATTATATTTTAATAATTAAATCAAAACAAATATAAAAAATATATATTAAAATAAATATGTACTAATTATTTTTATTTCTTCTAAGATTTTTTTTTTTAATTTACTTTCACATATAGTCAGTTATAATTGGCTGTACTGTACTCTTAGTCTTTTACCCATAAAATGATAAAATCATTTTTTTTTTTTTTGGCCCAAATCATAGCTTCAAAAATATGACTTCTTGTGAATTCCTTTTAGGAAATTAAGTTAATTAACCCTGCGAACCAAACACCACCTTTGGTTTAACGATTCTCCTTCATTGGAGGAGTATAACTGACTTTTGGTTAAAGGAGCGCACCGTTAAAACTGTATTTCCACTCAAGGTAAAACCTTGCTTCGTAAACACGTGTCGAATGTGCATTATATTATATGTACAATTGCCCCTTTTTTTATTGGTCAGAAAAACTGATATCCCACGTTGATGGTTTTTTTGGCAGAGCATTTATGAGCCGTTAATTCAGTCGGTCTTCCCTCCCATCCTTAATTCACCTTTGACCTGGGAATACACCATCCACTCAGGATCTGACACAAAACCTTTCACTGTGATTGAATTATTTGACAACACTGCTTTTTATTTTTGTTTTTTTTTTTTTCCCCCTTCACTAGTGCTGTGTGAGTAATAGAGCAAATAGAAGGTGGAATGTAGTTTGTGTTGCATAAATTGTACTTTATATAATTATTGATAGATAAAGATTTTTTTTTTATTATAGTTAAAATAATACAGTATGTATAGAACATATTGTAAAATAATATTCTCTAGATCAAATATTGACTAAAATGTGGTGTTCTAAGAATTAGGGCTTTAAATTTTTTAGAAGGCAAGAGGCTATCTACAATATAGATGAGAGAGTGGTTATTATTTTATCTCTTAAAAATTAAGAGTGAAATTAAATATCTAAAATTACTTTATTTCAATATAGATAAAGAGAATGAGGAGATCTATTTTTAGCCCTTTCTCCTAATTATTTATCAAGTCAATATATATAATTTTGAGACATCGTTAAATTCTTATCTTTTGAGGTGGCACTTAACAACCACTATCTATCTATATATATGTAGAGAGAGAGAAAATGGATCATCTTATATATAAGTTTTAAACATGTACGTCTCACACAAAATTATAATTATTTTTTTTGTTATAAATGATTAAAATTTATCTACTTTTTACTAATTTT